CAATCGTTCTGAAGGTGATATAGTTTGACGGCTTCGACAAAATTTTTTTGTTATGCTAGATGCAACCATTGACAGCAAGTGTTCATACCTTTCAGGAGACAATCTGTAAAATCTATAAAAAAATTCTCTGTCATGAAGGTGTAGCTCAGGAATTATTGTGAAATGCTTCTTTAGTGTGGCTTCGTTTTTGAAACGATTTCTATATAATGAGCGTATCCAAAATTTGTGTTTTCTTTTTGTTCTTTTTACTTTGCAATGTTCTAAGTGCCAGTAATGTATTGCAAAGTACAAGCTGGCATTTTAGAAGATTAAACCTTTTATTATTTTCCATTTCTGAAAATTAATTTATTCATATCTCTCTCTCTCTCTCTCTCTCTCTCTCTCTCACTCTCTCTCTCTCTCTCTTTATATATATATATATATATATATATATATATATATATATATATATATATATATATATATATATATATATATATATATATATTATATATATTTTTTTTAATATTATTTTAGCTGTTACTAAATTGAAATATAAATCAAGTTAGTTAAAATTAGGAGAAATATTGTCCGAAAAAATTTAAGCTGAAGAAAAAAAATTCCTTTTTTTTTGCTAGAAATAAGTGTTGGGATTCCTGTTTCTTTACAATAATAAGTTGAATCTAAGTTTTATGCAGTAACTTGTTACTTTAAAATAATTTTTTGTAAAAACTACTATCGTACAAATAAAATAATACAACAATATTTATAAAAATAAAATAATGTCAGTCTTGATTACATAATCAGTATTTGTAATTTTTTTTTTATATACTTTTTACATAAGCATAAACTAATAAAAGTAATTTACAAAAATTATTTTAGTTTGATAATTAAAAAAAAAAACATTATTTAAGAACGTATGTTTCATAAATTCAGTTACAGGTTCATAATATTTTATTAAGGCAAAAACGTATTTAAAAGATTTAGAATTTACAAACAGTGTTATGGCTAGTGAATCAGAGGCTCTTCCCAAAACATGTCATTAGGGCTAAAAAATTTTGAAAAAACTCTTTTATTATGTGTTACTTAAAGAAAAAGCTCCTTGATTTTTGAAATAAACCCTTAAAAACTTCAAAAAAGCCCCTATAAATTTTAGGCCTTTTCCTAATTAAGTCAAGCGGAGCATAGCCACTGCTTTGTTTTTGTAATTTTAACAAAAATTTAAAAACGCTTCTAAAATTAATGGAAACAGCTGGGTCGTGCGACAAATAATGCAAAAGTTGTTGCGCGACAGTTGTCGCACGACTGTCGTACGACTATATGGAAACCAACCTTTACTTTACCATTTAATCTTCCATATGGAAAAAAAGATCTGTTATTTTTATTGAAAATTATTATACATACATTTTTGTAATGCTGATTTTTGATTTAGTATAATTTTGGTTGATATATCTAGCTGAACTTTTTTGATAAGTATTTATTATTAACAAGATCTATTAAATCATTTACTGAAGACTTCAGTAAATACAAACTAAATAATATTTAGTTTATATTTACTGAAGTTTATATTTAAAATATAAAATTAGAAACAAATTACTCCAGTGAAGTAATTTGTTTCTAATTTTATATTTAGGTAAAAATTTGCAGTCAGTAAATAAATAAAACTATTTATTTACTGATAAGTAGATAAAAAGTTTTAAAGTGTTGTTAATTAAATCATCTGTATATTTATCATTATTATTTTAACTTACCTGTAAGTTATCATTTTTATTATTTTAACTTACCTGTAAGTTTTATATATAACATTGTATATATTATTTAAAACTTAAAAGGATCGCAAATCATCGATTTATATATATATATATATATATATATATATATATATATATATATATATATATATATATATATATATATATATACATATATATATATATATATATATATATATATATATATATATATATATATATATATATATATATATATATATATATATATATATATATATATATATATATACATATATATATATATATATATATATATATATATATATATATATATATATATATATATATATATACATATTATTTTAAAACATCAAAAATACGATTTCTCTCAACACTTATAATTTTTTTATTATTATAGAAATTTTCGCTGGATTTTAGATACCAGCTTCTTCAGCTTGTTAAATGTTACAGTAATTAATAAAATCGTTATAATTTAAATTAAAACGTTGCTATTGACGTCAGCTGTTGAATGGCTTCTTTTTCGCTGAAATTTAAAAAATGGCGTCCAAAACTTAGTTTTTACGTATTGACCCTCATCGAGATTAATCCCGCCATTTTTTGCAGAACACATGTTTTTTTGTATTTCTAGGGCTTCCCTAACTTTTCTTTCAAATTTTTTATTTTCTACTTTTAATGTTTTTGTTTGTTCCCAAATAATTTCTTTTTTGCAAAATGTTTTATGCAGAGCTAATGCGGATTGATGCTGCTTATTTTCATCAATGCTTTTTTGGTGTTGATGCATTCGTGTGTTTACTTTCATTTTTGTTTCGCCTACATACACTTTTGAACAGTTGCATTTGATTATATATGTTCCCGGTTGACTGTTATTAGGTAGTTTTGATTTATTTTTTGATGTTAACAGGGATCTTAAGTTTGGGTTTGATTTGAATACCGCTCTGTAACCAGCTTTTCGGAATATTTTCCTAAGTTTTGGTGAGAGACCGGGTACCCATGGTAAGGAAACTACAGGATAATTATTGATTTCAGATGGAATTGTAATTTTATTTTGTCTTTTGTGTTGAAACTGATGCGCAATATTCATCATTTGAGTTTTATCGTAACCATTTTCAATAAACACGTCGATTAGAAAATTTATTTCATTTTGCAAGTAAGACTTACTACAGATTGAGTAAGCTCGGTGGAGAAATCCTTTAAAAATAGAGTTCAAGATATTTGGATCATGATTTGAGTGTGGCTTAATTTGAATGTTAGTGATAGCATCTTTCCGATATACTGCGTATTCATACTTTCCTGTTTTTTTATTCATAATTTGTATATCCAGATAATTTAGTGTTCCTAACTCGTTTTCAACTTCAATTGTATACTGGATGGAAGGATGTTGTTGATTTAAAATGTATTGGAAATGTTTTGCTTGGTTGAGATCTGGAAACCTTGCGTGACTATCATCGACATATCTTAAGAACGATTTGAGGTTAAGTGCAGGGTTGAAATTTAGTGCAACTTTAATTGCATTGTTTTCATGGAATTGTAGAAATGATTCTGCAAGAACGACCATGAACGAAAGTCCAATTGGACCCGAGTTTTTTCATTATATGAATTTCATTGTTCCAATGAAAATAACATTGAAATAAACAAAATGAAATAAATTTTCTAATCGACGTGTTTATTGAAAATGGTTACGATAAAACTCAAATGATGAATATTGCGCATCAGTTTCAACACAAAAGACAAAATAAAATTACAATTCCATCTGAAATCAATAATTATCCTGTAGTTTCCTTACCATGGGTACCCGGTCTCTCACCAAAACTTAGGAAAATATTCCGAAAAGCTGGTTACAGAGCGGTATTCAAATCAAACCCAAACTTAAGATCCCTGTTAACATCAAAAAATAAATCAAAACTACCTAATAACAGTCAACCGGGAACATATATAATCAAATGCAACTGTTCAAAAGTGTATGTAGGCGAAACAAAAATGAAAGTAAACACACGAATGCATCAACACCAAAAAAGCATTGATGAAAATAAGCAGCATCAATCCGCATTAGCTCTGCATAAAACATTTTGCAAAAAAGAAATTATTTGGGAACAAACAAAAACATTAAAAGTAGAAAATAAAAAATTTGAAAGAAAAGTTAGGGAAGCCCTAGAAATACAAAAAAACATGTGTTCTGCAAAAAATGGCGGGATTAATCTCGATGAGGGTCAATACGTAAAAACTAAGTTTTGGACGCCATTTTTTAAATTTCAGCGAAAAAGAAGCCATTCAACAGCTGACGTCAATAGCAACGTTTTAATTTAAATTATAACGATTTTATTAATTACTGTAACATTTAACAAGCTGAAGAAGCTGGTATCTAAAATCCAGCGAAAATTTCTATAATAATAAAAAAATTATAAGTGTTGAGAGAAATCGTATTTTTGATGTTTTAAAATAATATATAAATATACTCTCACACAAGATGTTATCCTTTAAATCATATATATACATATATATATATATATATATATATATATATATATATATATATATATATATATATATATATATATATATATATATATATATATATATATATATATATATATATGTTCACTAAACTTAAAATCATTATCTATAGTGACCATAAGTAGCTTCACCTTGTCAGAAGCAAATATTTTTATATTTCCTATTGTTAGAAAATATTTTTCATAGTTTATTATAACAACTAATAGAAGTTGGAATTTGTCTAGATTTATAACCATAGAATTTACCTTAAACCAAACAATGGTATTATTAATTTTTTATTGCAAAGGAGAAAGTGCTCTTTCTACACTGTTATCTCAAACATATAGAGTGTTGTCATCAGCAAAACTGCAATGCTCAGTATCTTGAATAAATAAAAATTTATCTTTTATAAATATGTTAAATAAAATTAAAATATTATATAGATCCTTGAGGTACTCCTAAAGAAATATCTGACCAATCTGAAAGCGTAGAATCTATCATCACTCACATATAAATATGCAATATCTTGATACTTTCATCAGAAAAGCCGTATGATTCCAACTTAACTATCACTAAATCATGAGGAATGAAGTCATATGCCTTAGAAAGATTAATTAGTAATGAACCGACAATATTTCAGTTGTCTATAAATTCTTACCATTTCTGGAGTAAACTGAAAAGTGCATGCTGAGTGCTATACCTTTTACAAAAACCACACAGCTGGAAATCCAATTTAGGTTTAATAATTAGCAGAATTTGTTGGTGTAAAATTAATTCCTAAACTTTTGATAGTGCTGGAAGTATACTTATAGGACGGTAGTTTGATTTGTTTGTTGGATCGTCTTTTTTAAAAAAGGGTACTACATCAGCCATTTTCAAAAATGACGGAAATATACCATCAGAAATACTCTTATTTATGTAGTCTCTTAGACTATCACCAAAGAACATGAAATATGATTTTAGCATAAATGTCGGAACATCACCACCAGTCTTTTTCATACAATTCATTGAACCAATTATTTTTAAAACTTCATTTGTTGAGATTGGGTGAAATTTAAAACATTCAGGGTAATTCCATGGTATCAACAGGGTAACTCCATGTTAATTGATCCACAAACTTTTAAAAATGTCACCACATATCTCAGATTTTGCTGATTTTTATTTAGCTTAAAGTACGAAGTAAAATAAGAATTCTTTAAAAACTTTAGCTCCAAAAAGAAGAATTTGTACTTAAGTTTATACATTTTCTTAAAATGTTTAAAGAAAAAAAGTTTTCTTAAAACATTTTAAGAAAGACTATTGAATATAGAATGATCAAAAACCAAATGGAACAAGTTTAAACTAAAATAATTTTTAAAGACAATATTTTCAAAAAATCTTTACTTTGTTAAAAACAAAAAATAGAAATTCTAATATAAAAATAACTAGGACATGGCCCCAACTGCCCTAGAACCAAGGACCCTCTGGTGATCTGCCCTAGAATGTTTGTTTAAAACTATTTTAACACACGTTCATAAGGACTATGCATCCTAAAAGTTTAAGAGCTCCAGTTTGATTAGAAAGTAGTGAAAAATCTTTTTCAAGATTCCACTACAAAAAAAGGGACACATGCCCAAGCCACATTTGGTTTCTCAGGCCATGAATACAATTTTAACATTCACATTTATCGACACTACAGAAATGCTAAAGGTTTGAAAACTCTAGCTGGTCTGGAAAGTAGTGGAATATAAATCGCAAAAATCTGCTACTAAAAAGTGGGGACCATGACCCATTTTCCATATGTAAAAATCTATATTAATAATTATTATTACTTTATTAATCACGCTCTGTAAAATTTATTTACAAGGTAAAAACACAAACTAAGAAAAAGAGTTAAAAAAAAGTATTATTTAGGAATAATTTTTTTAATTATCTTTTTAAAAATTGTTCGCTGTTCTTTTACATTGCGCGTGTACCAAAATATGAAGAGTAGCATCAGGAAGAGTAGCCTCCGGAATATACTTGCAGATAAAAATCTTTAAATTTTCTGAAAGATGAAATATAGAATGAAAATAGAATAATGTGTAATATATATTTTTTGAAAACATCAAAGTCACATATGCTTCTTGAGCATTAAAAACAGGTAAACAATAAATTCCCTAAATTTGTTTGAATCGATAATAACAGGTACTTAATAATATTTTTTTTTTATTTTTTTATTTTTTTTTTACATTTCTGATTATTTTATTTGATTGATCGCCACTAAAAACAGTCAGCTACAAATTTTTAAGTAAAACGATCAAATAATGTTTAAGTTATGTGATTTGAAATCACCTTTTTAAATAATTTTTTATTATTAACTTGGAATTTCAATTAAAAAGATATAATTTTAATTAGTCTAACAGAAAATATTTTGTTCAAGAAAATTCTCACTTGATAAGCAAGAAGTTTCGAGTTCAATCCCCACCATGTCCAGAATTGGACAGGAATGACATGCGATCGAGCGCTATTGATTTTATTTTTTGACAACTGTTTTGACCACAACTGTTTAGATGTTTTTGACAACTGTTTTTATTTTTGATTTGATTTAAACTGATTTTATTTTTTGACAACTGTTTTGACCACAACTTTTAAGATCTTTTTTAACATTTTAGAAATGCGAAGAAAAAAGAAATGCAAACTAAACTTAAGCTAGGAAGAAAATAAAAAAAAAATAACGAAAAAAGAACAAACAATTCCTTGCGAAAAAGAAAATATTAAAATTAAAACTAAAATTAAAGTTAAAAAACTCAAATTGGAAGGCAAAAACTTTTTGTTACGTTTTTGTTACGTTTTAATTGCGTTTAAAAAAAATTACTTAAATTTTGTCTTTTAAAAAGTTTTATTAAAGTTACAAAAAGAATGTATTTTACAAAATACTTCTAATAACTGTTTAAAAAGATCCCCAAGGCAAATTGTGCTCATAATAAAGAAAATGTTAAATAAAAGGTTTGGGCTAAATTTTTTTGATTAAACCTAAGTAATAAATGCATATCAATAAAATTAAAATTTTCGTTTAAGTCGAAGCTTGGTGTCTCCATTTTTTTTTGAATCTCTGAGTCTGTATAATGTTAGTCGCAATCTGCAGACTCAATAATTTATTGCATGTGTGTTTAAGTCATATTAGTTTCAGTATATGACATTATTGTTTTTGTTTTTTTTTTAAATTTCTCAGCAAATCAAAAATTTGTATAATATTTTACTAAATCCCAAAAAATATTTTTGATACATAGAAGTGAGTAAAAATATCAGAATAACCGGATTTCCAAAGAAGCGGACGGGTTATCTAATCCGTTTTTTCTTTTAATATTCAAATTCGGATGCGAATCACAATCTATTAATAAATCGGATAACCTGATCTGCTTCAGTTTTTTGTACGTAATTAAAATAATAATAACTTTACTAGCTGGGGTGACCCGTAAAATACGGGTCTTTACCGAACCGACCATTTTTATACTTATCTATAGCTATCCGGACGTAAACTAAGGGTCTTAGTAAATCTATTCTACACCGACCTTTTCTATACTTATTCCTTACCTCAATATTTTTTTAAAACCGTTTAAAAATGTACATATAAAAAACTATACTTACTTTTTGATATGACAAAAACATTTCTGTTAAAATGTTCTTTTAAAAACTTCAAACGATTTTAATATTATGCCGATTATAAAAATTTTAATAAGAAAAAACGTATTGCCGTAAAAAAGACTACGAACTTAGAAAAATGCTAAAAAATTCAACACGTGACGCCGTTAAAGTACGCCTTAGTTAACGTTCATAACATATACACATCTAATTAGATTTTATTTAAACTCAGTTGTTGCAAACTTGGTTTTGAATTTTTAATTACACTTCTTATGCGTCATAAATAATCTTAAATTTAAATAGAAAATACGTTTATGGGCTAATTGGTAGACGCGCAACACTTAGACACTTATAGTCATCTTACCCCGGGAGTTCATACTCCAGTGACTTTTTTTTTTCATCCCAACTTACAACAAAAGTAATTAAAAATAAATGTTATCATTGAAACAGTTTTAAACATTTCTTCCTATTTATCTTTGAACTTAACTTTATTCACTGCAAACATACTTTTGGTGTTTGTAAGCGTTATTTTACGTTTAGTATTTGTAGGAATTATTTGCACGCACGTATTTTAAACAATTATTTTTACTGTTTCATCTAAAAATCTTATTTAATTTAGTTTAATAATTTCTTAAATATAATATATATAATATAATTTAAAATATTTTATTAACCCTATTTAAATAAGTATCAAAACTCTTTCCTTTAATTTAAAAAGAATTTAAAATTAACGTAGGCTATAACGATATTTTACCCTTTCATCAACATTTATTTAAAAAGTAAATTTGGATATAGAAAAACGGGTTAAAGACTTATTATTTTAAATAAGTTAGCTTTATCTATTTAATGCTTTTCGTAAAAGCGTTTCTTTAAAGACTCTTAACAAATCATTCAAGCTGTTTTTACTGCCTAAGTTATTAAACCTGTTGTGTGTGCCAAAAATCGATACTTAATGCATATGGAAACTTCGAGTGCTAATGGTGATTAAAGCATAAATGGTTCCTATTCATATATAATAAAAGGAAATATGAAAGACAAAGCAAAAATGATTTTTATATCCATTTAAACCAATAAATCCCAAAATAAAAAAATATAGATATTTACTTAAAAACATATTTTTCTTGATATAAAATAAAAGTATAACCTTTAGTACAAATTACAAAAAAAAAATTTATTCAACAGAGCTACTTATAATACAATTTAAATTGAATCATTGTTTCATAAATATTAAGCTTTAGGTAAGCCATAATCAAGTCAGCTATAAGAAACGGAACTAAAAATGGAACAAAGTTATTTAAACGCATAATCATAATCATACACATTAATTACAAATTAACATGTCATGCAATCAATACTTTTGAAAACTCAAAAATGCGAATAAGAAACTTACTTTATTATTTTTACATAACCCTGACAGACCAACATGAATGTGAGCTAAATCTATTTGCATAAAACATCACAACAATTAATTAAATAGCAGAACCACCTCCAAAGGACAAAAAAATTAGTTTTTTAAGGAAAATTAGAGTTATTGGGAGGGGAGGTATTAATAAATAAAAAAGCTCAACTTGAATTTAAAAATTAGTTCATAGTTTTGTTGAGGGTTATTGAGTTATTCTGAGTTTATTATACATATTTTAAACTACTGACACCACACACTTATATTCTTAGTTCTGGAAGGTGCTAGATAGAATTTGATTGTGTGAAAACCAAATCCCTTTGAGATTAACATTAACTTTATCAAATGTATGACCGTGACTTTTATTTCTAGTTAATGAGCATTGTTGATAAAGGTGTCTTTATTTAAATGATTTACTTTGATAACATTTAACATTCATGGGAAAAATAAAAAACAACACAAAAATAAATTTACAAAAATATATTACAAAAAAAAAAATGAAGTGGCTCAAAAGTTGTCAATTTCTTTACATTTTAATATGTAAAAAAATTATTGACAACTTTTGCGCCGCGTTGTCTTCTCCTCCCAGCATCCGCTCTATTCCCCGTGTTGTATGGGGTGCCATCCCTCCATCTAAAGGAGGGATGGTCGTCCCCATACAAACACCAGCGATGGAAGGCCCTCATAGATAGAGGGCCTGGATGCTGGGAGCGATACTTTCTGAATTCTTCCCATGACTTCGAGCCTGAAAAAAAAATTATATATAAATACAACTATGTACCAAGGTAATACTTACAAAAAATCTACTGTAAAAAAACAATAAAAGCAAATAATGTAATAAATTAAGTACAAGTGAGCACAACAACTTATTTATTTTACTCACTAATACTTGACTTATTACATTAACTAATTAAACTGGAAAGCACATTTGTAGCTATATTAAAAAACAAAAGGTACAATAAAAGCAATCAATCAATGTAATAAGTCAAGTAAAGGTGAATATAACAACTTACTTGTAACAGAAGAAGCAGCAGCTAGAGATAAATAAAAGAAAATTAAAAATGCAATAAAACCAATTAATCCATAAATTAAGTCAAGTATAAGTGAATAGAACAACTTACTTGTAACAGAAGAAGCAGCAGCTAGAGATAAATAAAAGAAAGTTAAAAATGCAACAAAACCAATTAATCCATAAATTAAGTCAAGTATAAGTGAATAGAACAACTTACTTGTAACAGAAGAAGCAGCAGCTAGAGATAAATAAAAGAAAGTTAAAAATGCAACAAAACCAATTAATCCATAAATTAAGTCAAGTATAAGTGAATAGAACAACTTACTTGTAACAGAAGAAGCAGCAGCTAGAGATAAATAAAAGAAAATTAAAAATGCAATAAAACCAATTAATCCATAAATTAAGTCAAGTATAAGTGAATAGAACAACTTACTTGTAACAGAAGAAGCAGCAGCTAGAGATAAATAAAAGAAAGTTAAAAATGCAATAAAACCAATTAATCCAATTTAAGTCAAGTATAAGTGAATAGAACAACTTACTTGTAACAGAAGAAGCAGCAGCTAGAGATAAATAAAAGAAAATTAAAAATGAAGAAGGCAATGTAACAACACGGCCTGGTCTTACATTAAGATCATTAGCACGATTAATTACATGTTCATGCAATGCATCATATTGCTCACTTCTAAGTTTGTTTTGGTTATTTCTAATAAAAGCAAGGCGCTGTCCCTCAACTTTGACATATGCATCAACAACATATTGCTGAAAAAGTTTCTTACCATAGAATATAGGACTAAAAGTTTGTCTAACAGCAAGCCTATAATTATAATACTGAGACAAAGTAACATGGTTTCTAACACGGGTTGCACGGTCAGGGTTGTGCTCTAGTTGATTGTGCCATCCAGCATCACCTCTCGGGAAGAATATTGGATATACCAAAGGATCCAAATTTGCAGACATAGACGAAATTGTTCTTAAAGGCTGACCTCGAGGGTATATAACAATTTCCCTGGATGCAGGTGGAGCACCATCATCTCCCACAAACACAATAGCAACTTCCTCATGGGAAGGAAGATTGTATCGACGTCTATCATGACCTTCAAGCAAAGACATTCTTACAACAGAGGTTGGTCTACCTTCTAAAGCTGCTTGGCGGATTTCTTCATCCTCTACTTCTGCCATGTTTTTAAATGCAAGAGCAAATGGGTTTTCTTGATTAATGTTTGCAAGAGTTGCATTAACTCATGTATACAACCATCATTACCAGGTTGTTCCATTCTGAATGACACTGCTGCATTAGGATCATAGATATACAGCTGACAATATTTGGGCAGACAACCTTCTGCAGGCCTTAAATTTCCAACACGATGCAAAATTTGCCCACAGACCCTAAAACAGAAAGGGCCATTATTTGAGGGAGGAGCTATTTCGGCAGTGAAGGAAGCAAAAGATAAAGAGGAATTATAACTCCTTATGTGTTTAAAAAAATTTTGATTTACAGCATGATCAACATGGTTTCCTGTCATTAAACCAGTCAACAATGGCGGATAAAGAGAAAGAGGAGCTAATGCAACTTTTCCGGAATGGCAGCACAAAAAATGAGTTTCATTTAAAAACTTCTTTGCACTGCAATACTGACAATTATGGTTTAATTCTCCGAGGTAGTTACTCTCTATAGCAATATTATTTCTTGCTATGCGATGCATATTATACCTATTAAGTTCTCGCCTAGCCTGATTTCTTTCATTTTGATTACAATTTATTTCAGCTCGCCGGGGCTCATCTCTTTCAATTCGACGACGATTTATCTCAGCTCGCCGGGGCTCATCTCTTTCCATTCGACGACGATTTATCTCAGCTCGCCTGGGCTCATCTCTTTCATTTCGACGGCGGTTTATCTCAGCTCGCCTAGCCTGCCTTCTTTCATTTTGACGAAGTCTAATAATTTCATTTCTTAAATTATTAGACATAATTAGGCATCAAAGGAAAAATGATGCCTAATATAATAAAAGTTGAAGTTTCTTTTTTAAACTTATCTAAAATAAAGTGTAAGCAAATAATACAGAGCATAATACTATAATCTATTATATTCTACCATATATAGCATTGTGTTAAGATAACATAGTTTTATTAAAAACTTAAACTAAAGTTATAAATTAATGTAATATTTTCAACTAAGTATTGTTTATATATTTATGGTAGTTGTTATCAATTATTGACAAAATATTATAAGTATTTAATCAAAAAAAACAAAAAAAACAAATGTTATTTAAAAAACAATTTTTTTACATATAAGAACTCATAAATAAAGCAAATTAAAAAAATTTAAGGCCTGTCAACTCAGCAGGTACTGCTAGCATGGAAGGATAAAATGTAATCATCCATCAACAAAACCCTTTCATTACTTTGAAAGGCATTTAACGCAAGATTTGCAATAAATAAATACAAAACTACTAAAAGAACCTCTATAAACAATCATATATTTGCTTCAAGTGAAGAAACTTGGAAATATTGAAACTTCTTTTACTATTTTATTTTTTTTTTTAGATATTTAATATTCTAAAGAAAAAGGGACAATAATTTAAAGCAAAAAAATTAAAATGTCTATACATATAATATATGTATAGACATTTTAATTCTATATATTTTATTGTGTGTGTGTGTGTCTATATATATATATATATATATATATATATATATATATATATATATATATATATATATATATATATATATATATATATATATATATATATATATATATATATATATATATATATATATATATATATATATATATATATATATATATATATATATATATATATATATATATATATATATATATATATATATATATACATATATATATATATATACATATATATATATATATATATATATATATATATATATATATATATATATATATATATATATATAATATATATATATATATATATATATATATATATATATATATATATATATATATATATATTGATGTACATACAAAACATTAAAATAATAATATAAAGAAAACATTCTCTATACAAAAAATCCTAAAAATTTAACAAAAGTTATTAAAACTTATGCTTCAACACGCTGTATACTTACTTTTATATATATAAAAAAAATTTGAGTTAAACATATTTAATGAAGAAAATCGAAACTCTTAAAAATTTTAATGAGGAGGAGCTGTTAGTAAAGCCTGCTTTTTAACAAAATTTATTTATTGTCAAAAGCATACATTGTTAAGAACAGAGGATAACAACATTAAAACACATTTTTTAAACAATATTTTTTCAACACATTTTAGAAATACACTAATTACAAACAGAATTAATTTATGTGTTTTATTATGACAATACACCACTCTGCTGGCGAGGACAATATTTTTGCTCTCAACAAAGCCAGGTCACATTATAGCAAAGTACACCACTTGGCTAGCGAGGTCAACAATCTTGCTGTAAACTAAGCCCAGTCACAACAATTTGAAACCATGCAAACAACATAATTATCACTTACAAACTATAAACATATTACATATAACACACCACAAACATTGAAACATTTCATATATTTACACACTTACAAAATATAAACCCATATAACCATAACACATATATACACAATAAAACACAATATAAATAACACACATATATAGATAAATATATAAATTAAGAAAAATATATAAATTTGAAACTTTACAAATACAACCTTATTTTTGTTTTTTGAAATACCTCGTAATAAATGTTTAACAACTTTCAAAAACAAACTATCAAACAATCTGGTTTTTTATACGGATTTTTATAACTTCTTTTAAATAAGGTATTAAACGATCTTGTTCTTTAACATGTAACATTGAGTTGACCGTGTGAGATGCAAGTGTTTTAAACACTAACTTTATCAAGAGTTTGACTTCTTGACCTTTGAAATGAGCAACGTCTTCTTGAGTCGTCTTTTAATTTAAAAATTAGAGATTAATTTTATAAATTAATAAATTTAAATACAATTGACAAAAGACTAAAATGCATGATTTAAATAAATCACCTGACTTTAAAAGTTACTTTACTAATTCAATAATAACATAATGTTCATCCTTTACTACAGAAGTTATCAAATAAAAATTGTTGATCTTATCACTAATTAAGCTGATGAAACAAAGTTTTTGATCTCATTACTGATTAAGCAGATACTGACAGATTATTAAGATTTGAAAGAGCCCCATCAGGATTAGGGTCAGGGTTAGGGTTCAGAAGTAAAGCAATTTATGATAAAACTCAAAGGCCAAGTATGGTAAAAAAATCCGTGTAAAGGTGCACGAATGGTGAGCAGCAGCGTTAAGTTAAGTATTAATTATAAGCGATATGTATTTGAGATGCTTATAAGTATCGTATATCAATGCTTAACGACTCTCAATCTGTATTATTTGACACGGTGATTGTTAAGTATAATAAAAAAAAACTGTGAATGTAAATGATCACACCGCCATCTAAATATTTTGCTACGTTATAAATAGTACGTAATACTTAATCAAATTGTTTAGAGAAAATTACAAACAAAACAATTTTATCTTTTATCAACAGCCTTGTTATTTATTGAGTCTATGTTTTTTAAAACTGTTTAACGTTCTTGCTATTCATTTGCTCAAGATTCTTGAACCGAAGGTACAAGAATCTTGAGCAAGTTGCAAACTATGTACTCTAGCGTGCCTAATAAATGGGAGATGACGTTTATTGATTTTCAAATAAATTTTCTTCCTATCCCAACGTTATTAGGCCTACTTTCCCCGCCTAATTATATTTAGTACTTTCTGACTTTTTTTGATATATATACATTTGATATCGACAAATAATTTAATCAAAACTGAAAAAATAAAAGGATTCTAAAATGGCCTTAAAAATTGAAAAATACAAATATCAGTTACTAATTAAAAAATAATAATTTTTCAGTGTAATCAAAATTTAAAAATTGTCGACCTAAAGAAAATCTTGTTATTTCCATTTGATGACAATGAGCTTTTGATTTAATTCTTTCCATAGTATAACTTTTTAAACATAAATACGGTAGTGCTGTAGTGGTAGATTGCTCACTTCATAAGCTTGAGATTCCTAGTTCGATCGCCACCACGTTCCTGATAGTGTGTTCTGTAAAAAATAAAAATTTATAAGGTTTTGATTTCACAGGCCAACACAATTTTATTTTTATTTTGCATGCAGTATGTTTTCTTATAGTATTCCTCATTCTGATTTCAAATACGCAATTCTTTTTCTTCTATCGTGTCAATTTTCAAAGATATTGGGGTTCAATCCCTAATATTTGGGTTCATAATATTGTCAAATAAAAACTCTTTTTACAGAGATTTTAAAAAACATAAAGATTTTTATTTATATAAAAAATTATGAAAAAATGGTAATGAGATTCAAAATAATCTAAAAAAATGTTTTTTACCAATGAAAAATGTTCATTTTATTACAAACATTATTTTTAAAATCTCTGTAAAAAATCTTTTGAGATCCATGTTGATATACTTTTAAAGAAGTTTTTTTTGATAAAATAAAGAAACTAACCAAATAATTGGGATTTGAACCCTAATATCTTTAAAACTTGAAGTGATAGAAAAAAAAAGATTGCAAATTTTTTTTTTGTTTGTTCTTTATTACAATATTTAAAAGAATATTTACAAATAAATCAATAAGAAAAGTTGCATGCAAAGAAACCGTTAAAAAATAAAGAATAAAGATAAAAAACGCGGATACTCAAAGAAGACCATACATGTCTTGTCACCGAGAACCGCGGTTGAAGAACTTTGAACTTAATTTAGATCTTTGAAGAAACAAAAAATAAATAAATAGAAATTTTAAACTTTTCTTTAGTTATGGTCTTTATGGCTTGAATTAAAATATTAATTCTTCTGAATCGCATGACTTAAACGAAAACAATAATATCATCATATTCTTGATAAACGAATACGTCTCGCATCTCACTTGCATCTATACGATCACTGAATCTTGTTACTCAAATATATCTTACAATTACATTAATCTTAATTGTTTATTAATTAATAAATAAGCGAAAATAATAATGAAATGACTGCACTAGGTACATCCAAATGCACTACAAGGTTGTCCAAAAGATTGTGTAGAAAAGTTTAGAAGGCCAAATGATGGTGTCTCTGTGTGTGAAGCCAAAATTATTAAATGATGGTGCGTTTACGTTTATGCTTCCACCGACAAAAGTGCTAAACCACTGTCAAAGGATGGTTAACTTCCAGTATCATACATACAATATTTGCAGATACACCCGTTCACATACATCAATTTTTTTTTTTTTTTTTTTTTTTTTTTTTTTTTATATTAATAATATATATAAATATATTTTTAACTTTTTTTTTTATTACAAATTTAAATTCAATATTAAAAGTATATAACGTTCGTAAAACAAATTAACTACAAATATTACAAATAAAAATAAAAATTAAAGTAAACGTGTAAATAATAATAGACTACTGTACAAATAATGTCAGTGCAACTTTTAACAAAATTCAAATAATGGTGTATAAATATAGTTTCTCGAATAAAAGTTAAATCAATATTGTATAAAAGTAAAATACAAATAAGTGATGACAAACTGGGTATAATTAAAAGTATATAAATATATTTTCAATTAAGAAAACTACTTTTTTTAAGTTTTTTTTTGAACATATAATAATTCCATTCATGAGAAAAATCAAAATTTTTGAAAATTATTTGATTCCATTAAAAAGCTCCACGAAAAGCAATGGAAAATTTACCAAAGCTTGTTTGAAATTTTGGTTGTTTAATAAAATTATCATTTCTTAAAGAATATTTTTTTTTTCTCTTAAAGAATATAAATCAAAAAAGGCAGCTGGAGATGAGTTGGTTTTACATATAAACATAATGCAAAGTACATTATAAACATTTACTTGATATATATAAAACATTCATGTTAAATTAAAGTGGCTTTGAGTGAGTAAAACGATTTTTGAAATTTATAAGACGTGCAATATGCTTCTGCTGACAATAAAGTGGCTTTAGTTTATTTTTATGGGTACTACCCCATGCAATATTAGCATAATTAATATGACAGTGTATTAAAGAGTAATATAGTTGTGTTAATGAATGCTTGTTTAAAACGCTTCTTGCTTTATATAAAACTCCAATCCTTTTTGCAATCATGTTGCATAAATGTCCGATGTGATTCTTTCATGATAAATTTTAATATACAATGATACCTAGAAAATTTGTGAAAATTTCTCTTTTTATTTGAATATTATCAATATAAAAAGGAGGCATATTACTTGGAAGTAAATGTTTTTTAAATCGTGGATGAAAAAAAATCCATTTAGTTTTATCAATGTTGAGTGAAAGTTTGTTTGACTTAAACCAGTCAGATATTTTTGTTAGTTCAATGTTCATATCATAAAAAAGTTTAATGATGTTATTATTAGATAGGAATAGGTTTGTATCATCAGCAAACATTATGTTGTTAATTTTGAGACTACATGGAGATCGTTAACATAAATTAGAAATAATAGAGGCCCTATTATAGATCCTTGTGGAACTCCACAAGTTAAATTTAGACAATCTTGTGAAGAAGGTCTTCATAGACAAATTGTTTGCGATGTTTTAAATAGCTTTTTAGTAGTTTTAAAACCTTACTGGTGATACCATAATGTTTAAATTTTTTAAACAGTATTTTATGGTCAATTGTGTCAAAAGCCTTAGATAAGTCTATAAAGACGCCTAAAGTAAACTCTGACTTTTCGAATGAAATTTCGAATGAAAACGAGTAAGATGAATTATTGCATGTTAAGTAGAGTTATTTTTTTTAAATCCGTATTGATTTAAGTAAAGAATATTATTAACAGCAAGATGATTAGATATTTGGTTGAACATAATTCTTTCTAAAAGTTTTGAAAAAACAGAAAAGATAGATATTGGCCGATAATTACTAACATTTGAAGGTTCACCTTCTTTAAATATAGGTGTTATTTTGGGTATTTTGATCAATTGATCGGGAAAAATTCCCAATCAATTGAAAATTTAAAAACATATGTTTTTAAATTTTCTATGCCATACATCGTATGAATCTATGACTATATTACCATTTATATCATCAGGGCCAACTGCTTTATTAGTTTTAAGCATTTTAAAAGCACATTCAAATTCTGAAGAAGATACTCCAAATTTATTTCAACTAGAGATTAATAGAAACACGTGATCATTTATTGGAATCATATTTGAAATATTTTTAGATAAATTTTGGCCAACAGACACGAAATATTTATTTAATTCTTTTGCTATTTCTTTGGGTTCATATAAAAATACGCTTTCAACATTTATAGTGCTAGGCACAGAGCATAATTTTAATTTACTATTTCCAGTAATTTGATTTATAACTTGCCATGTTCGTTTTGAATTATGTTTATATTTTTCTAGTAAATCATAGTTAAATCGTATTTTAAATTTTTTTCTTTGACTTTCAAATATTTTAGCATAATTTTTATAAATAATTTTATTTTCTGGTGTAGGTTTTTTTTAATTCCGAAAATTGGATATCCGATAAAACTGAAACCGGAATCGGTTTAGTTTTAACTATTCAAAAATCTAATATCGAGTCTGGATTTCAACAAACCAAACCAGATATTAGGTTTTGTTCACCCCTAGTGATACAATTAAAAATAAAGTAATATATTTTTTTTTACATTTTATAAGTAAAACTTGTTTTTCATAACCGTTAAGATGACTTTTAGAAAGTTGTTTCTTTAATATAGTTACATATTTTTAAATTGTTATTTTTTGAACGTTTAATATTTGTTGCAGTATCATAGAATACTGTATTTCCTTTTTATAGAATATTATATAAGATGATCTTCTGTCCTGTTATGTGAAATAGCTAAAAAAAAGTCAAAATGTTTAATTTTTATGGTGAACTCCTACTTTTTAATACAAAATAATTTTTTTTACCTACATTAAATTTATTTTGTTATAGAAGCCTGTAAAAATCATGACTGAATTATACATATTTTATTATAATCAGAGTTCACAGCCGGAAGAAAAAATCAAGACAGTATTATGCAGTTTCTTGTTTTATATTTAGTTTATACGGTTTAATAGAGTCTTTGTTTTATGTTTAGTTTACATTTAGTTTATATAGTTTAATGTGATTCTTTGTTTTATATTTACATCATAACTAACGTTTTTATATTTAAGTACATATTTTCGTTTTAACTTTAATTTAGTTTGATTTATATGATTATTACCAAAAAAATTTTTGGAATTATTTAAAAAGTTATACAAATAAACATGATTGCGGCAGAAAAAAACAGTACATCTAAAAAAAAAAATTTCGATGACGTCTTATAGCAAAACTTTTGTGAATTGAACACACATGAAAAAAGTTAACAAGTCTGCAGATAGTGGCTAACATTATACAGACTCTGAGAACCAAAAAAAATTGAAGAAGGCGGAGCTTCAACTAAAATGAAAATTTTAATTTTATTGGTAGGTATTTCTTATTTAGTTTTAATCAGAAAAATTTCGCCAAACATTTTTTTTTAAACAATACAACTTGTCTCGGCACTTGGGGTTCCCTTCAATTAATACAACTTATCTCGGCACATGGGGTTTCTTTCAAGGATTACAACTTGTCTCTTTGTTTCTTCAATGAATGAACACATTTTATCTTAATTACTAAAACACGTTCAATATTATTTTTAAATTGTATAAACATTTATCTTTTCCAAAAAGTTGCAAAAATTGTATCAAAAATGCCGTTGTCTATTTAAAATTTCAAGTTAAAAAAAAAAGTTTTAAACAGTTCTTTATAAAAATAGAAATGAAAAAAAATAAATAAAATAAAACAATTAAATTAATTGATTTACTACGGAAGTGATCGGACGTGCTTTTCTTGCGCTGTAAATTTTTAATAAAATTGTTTGAACTTAATTTTTAAAATTTTTGTTATAACTGGTATTTAACTTTTAACTGGTATTTTGTTTATAACTGGTATTTAACTTGAGATTGAAAATGAGTTCAAAACAAATCACTGACGTCTCGATAAAATTAGTTACGGAAATTTTTCAAGAAATGTTCCAAAAACAACAAAATGATATACTATCGTTAATAAGTGCAAATTTAAAACTGACTAATGATCGAATCGATGGATTGCTGAAAGAAATTAGTACATTAAAAGAAACTTGTGAAATGTTAAAAAAAGATAACGTAAACCGAAATGCCGATCAAAATAAAACTAACCCAGTGGGCACCCGACGTCAATCCGACGTCGGATTTACGTACGATTTTCATCAGCGATGTCAAAAGACCTATTCCGACATTGTTCCGATGTCAGTAAAATGACGTCGGGCGATGTCTTTATCTCAACATCCCCTGACGTCGTTTCGATGTATTTTGACGTTGTTTCGACATCTTATAAAAGACGTCAAAAAAACGTCGCAGTACTGACATCGATCCAACGTCGATAAAAAGACGTCGGGCAACGTCATAATATTAACGTACTCCGATATCTTTTGACGTCTTCCGACGTCAATCCAACGTCCTTAAAACGACGTCGGAACAACGTCGTAAGACATCGCTGATGAAAATTTAATCCAAACCCAACAATATGTGTGCAATTGCGCTCTTCAATAATTATGTGAACTAAGCGTGTTTTTTTATTAATGGAAAAAAGTTTGAATAATGGTTGATAAAACATCATGAGGTTTTGTATGATGCACTAGCATAGTTTTTTAACTATTAACCATTTCGAGTATACATTTTTTATAATATATAACTATTCGTTTTAATATTTATATAATATTTAAACAAAATTATTTCTTATCAAAGTAATAATTCCCAAATAGCTACAAGTATAAATTACTAAATAAACACATGGAACAATATGTTCCTGTGGTGTAGTGGTAAGCGCGTAGGATTTAGTATCTTATAGACCGAGGTTCGACTACTGCTAAAGGGAATGTTTTTTAGTTTTCAAAAAACACGTTGGATTTACATCGGAATGCCGACGTCGCGCGATGTCAGTTTATCCGACGTCAAATAACATTTCCATTTCCAACGTAAACCCAACGTCGATCCGACGTCGAGATCCGACGTCGCTCGACGTTCGTTCGACGTCGAAATGCCCACTGGGAACAAGCAGTTGATAAAGTTTGAAAAAACACAAAAAGACATTGAGGAAAGTCTAACGTTTTATCAAGATTGCAATGACAAAAAAATGAGCGAGTTGGAAAAAAAAAAGTCATCGAATACAAATATAGGTGAGAATGAAAAAAATAAATTTAGACAGCTGGAAGATCGACAAAGGCGAAATAATCTTCGAATTGAAGGAGTTAAAGAAAATGACAACGAAAGTTGGGATGATATGGAAAAAATAATAATAAACATTTTTGAAAATAATCTCAATGTAAATGGGGTAATCATAGAAAGAGTGCATAGAACTGGCATTATTGAAAAAAAAAATTCAAAAACAATTGTCATTAAGTTACTTAACCATAAAGACAAAGTAAAAATCCTAAAAAATGCCAATAAACTGAAAGGATCCGGAATTTACATCAACGAGGATTTTTCGCTGGAAACTTCCACAATAAGAAAAAAACTTCTTGAAGAAAGCAAATTGCACAGCATAAATGGTAAGTATTCCGTTGTTATATACGATAAGCTTATTGTTAGAGAATTTATTAAAAAAAAAAAAAATGATAAATGATTTTCTTACGTTTTTATATTACTTTTTTGAATTTTAATATTGCTTTAAGTTATTTATGATTTAAAATGGCTGATGAAACTGTTTTAACAAACATAAATTTTAATTCATTTGTATCAAAAAAGTCAATACTATTAAACAACTATTCGGATCCTGATATTAATTTTTATAATAATGATGAAATAATTAAAAATATTAACCCTTTATATTATGACCCAAATTCTAAAAAAATTGCTAATGGAATGGAGGATAACTATTTTTCAATGCTTCATATTAATATTAGAAGTATTCGAAAAAATTTTGAGTCATTAAAACAACTGCCCAGACAGCCTCCCGCTAGCGGCCCAATGCTGGCCCAGTTCCGCTTGCGACTACGGCGCGATGACGGCCGTCGATCACGGGCCTGCATCAAAACGGCCATTGGGCCAGCACTGGCCCGCTAGCCATGGGCCAGTATTGGCCCGCAATCGTTCGCCAGCACTGGCCTGCGATTATTTGCCAGCACTGGCCCGCGATCGCTTGCCAGCATCTGTTGACAGTACTGATCCGTGATCATTTTCCAACAATCTTTCGTGTTTGCGTGTCAGCTCTAAAGCGTTACTTTTTACTAGATACTTTTACTACATACACTAGCACGTTATTATTAGCCGTTTCCGTGAAAATGTGTTATTCCATAAAATTCAAACAAATAAGTATATTTGAAATTTATTGTAAACCAAAAGTGTTTTAATTAATAATGAAATAATAAAAACAAAAACGTTGAATGAATCAAATATTTATTTTTGCAACGAATTTTTAAGATCTTCTCGAGCTTTACGGCCGCCATTTCGATCACCGGAAAGTTGAAAGTATCTTTTTATCCAACGTTCAACCTCTTCAGACACTGCTCCTGAAGTCGAAGGATTTATTTTAACAGCATCTAAACAGTGTGACTACATTGTATATATGGAATATATTTATGTATACATTAGTAAATAATTAAACATATATATATACATATATATATATATATATATATATATATATATATATATATATATATATATATATATATATATATATATATATATATATATATACATATATATATACATATATATATATATATATATATATATATATATATATATATATATATATATATATATATATATATATATATATATATAAAATAGTTGATATATATATATATATATATATATATATAAAAATGTATATATATATATATATATATATATATATATATATATATATATATATATATATATATATATATATATATATATATATATATATATATATATATATATATATATATATATATATATATATATATATTACTATACATATAAACATATTTGTGTAAATTATCGTGATTCAAAAACGACTTTTTTTTAAATAGTCCACTGTTCAACCTAATATGTGTTCTCTATAATAAAATTTTATTATAGAGAACACATTTAAGGTTGAACAGTGGACTATTTAAAAAAAAGTCGCTTTTGAATCACGATAATTTATGGCATTAATAACGCTAAATTTGAAGTTTTTTAAACAAAAAATATTTTTAGGGGTTGCAAAAGTACCGAGTTCCTAATATTATTGGGAAAAAAATCAAAATGTCAGCCCAGTACTCAAAAGATGCACAACTAAATGTTAAAAATAATTATAATCAACACAAGATAAAATAAATATATAATAAAACACAAGATTTAAAAATAATTAACATTTCTTTATCTTGTAAGTTAAAAAAAAACATTTTTTTTTTAACTTTATGTGCAGTAAATTTTGAAAAAATAATTTGCATATAGAATGATTAATATTTGTTTTCCAGCACCAAAATTTTAAATCTTGTTTTTTATTATATAAAATACATTTACGTTTGAGGAACGGACTATATAAAAAAAAGTTGTTTTTTGAATCAGCATAATATATATATTTATACAAATGTTATACATAGAATGAAATTTCTTCTTACCCAATAAAACTTTTTTTAAAGGCATTGTTTTCAAAGCAAGCTTATTGTTAGCTCCTGACCAATTTATTTTTTTTTCTATATTGGTGCCAATCACCATTGGAATTAAATTCCAAACAGTCCTCTTAATTGTTGAGCCACCATGGGATGCCAATTTCATGCTCTAAAATTTACATACACATTATACATGATAACCATCTTTGTCTTTCATCAACAATTTTATTTAACTTTGTAAAATACTTATTTAATACTAAACTGTAAATTCAAAATAAAAATACTTTTAAAATGTTTTGTATAAAGAAATAAAAAAACAACGAATAAATGTATGGCTCACACTTACCAGTGCATTCATAACTTTCTTATCTGATTCGATGTTTTCGTTTAATTTGAGTAAGCTTGACTCATCATTTACTGGAATTTCGAAAGGTTCATCAACTAAAATTGCTTCCCTGTTTTGTTTAAGCATTCCAATAAGTTGACTTATTAAGGCATTATTTGTATCTAACTTTTTGTTCAGGTTCTCTACTGAAATAAGAAGCTCTTTTTCAACTGCTGTAAAAATATTTAATATTAGGCTACACCATCTCAACGATTATGAAAAATTTTAAAACTATATAAAATAATAAAATCTTAATCAAACGGAATTAAGCGCTACAGATCAAATCTAAAGGAATTGTTGCCGCAATGCATTTTTCAAGGGAAAGTAAAACTAAAAAACTTGATATATTTTTTAGTTTTACATAATTTGAAGAAAGTTAAATATTTGCGTAAGTTAGATAATAGCATACACTATCGGTGACTTTTCTTATATAAAAAAGTGCTACTACTCTTTCTCGCTATTACCTCAGTTGCAATCGCTGCCAAGAGTATCGTGTCAAACACTCTCCAATGAGCATTGACATCGCTATTATATAATGTGATAAAATATAAATCTTAAAATTTATAAAAAAAAACAAACAAAATGAGCATTATAAAAATAACTCTCAGTATCTCAATTATATGCATACGACTAACCAGTGCAATGAAGTGTTCCTTCGCTCACTTCGGCGAGAATCCGTCTCACAGTTGAACATCCACTTGATGTCAACGAAGATCCTAAAAACTAGAATTAAAAAAAAATAATTAATTGAACAGTTTAATTCAATTTACTAATAGGTTCTTTTCTTTTTTTTTTGTAATTCACCTCCCCAAGGCCGAGAAGGCCACTACAGAGAAGGAGACTATGGTTATAACCCTCTCTTAACTCTATAACTCTGAAACACGAACCTTGACAAACAAGGCCGCTGCGCGGAGAAACAAGTTAAGCGCAGTACTACCAAAACGCGGTGGGAATCGAACTTAAATGCATATATGTAAATATATATATATATATATATATATATATATATATATATATATATATATATATATATATATATATATATATATATATATATATATATAAATATATATATACATACATAGTCAATATACTAATGAATATAGCAAATTACCACAGAATTGGGTGCAGACAACGGATTGCTTTCGCATAAAGTACTTTTATCAACTACACTTGGTAAATTTGGATGCATGTTTGTGTCCTATTTACAAAAGCCAACTATAAGATTACTTGAGAACATTATGGAATTCAGTTACATTTTAATTGAAAAATATTTAAATGAAAATAGTATTAAAAGTACCTTCTCTTCTAACACTTCCAAAACAGAACCTTGCCTTTTATTTGACTTTAAATGATCTGAAAGAGTTAAATTTTCAGTACTAAATAAAGTTAAAGGATGAATTGGAGGAGCTGGAGCAAGTGTCTTTTTTTTTTTATTCATAACTTTCTTTTGTTTTTTTAATAACTGTTGAGTGTCACTTTCTGAACTTGAATAGTCAAAGTTATGATACGATACATCTCTGTAAAATAATGAAAGAAAATCAACATCATGATATGATGATCATCATCTAAATTACATATAATCACATAATGATCATCATGAGAAAGACCATCACCTGGTAGGGCAAAGACTCTTCTGAATTCTATTTTCTTCTGAATTAATTGAATCTTCACCCTCGTTATTTGAGAAAAAATCTGATGAAACTTCTGCCATAGGTAGTTTTTCTCTCGCTTTTTCATATGATACTAAAAAAAATTGGGGTTTAAAAATCAAAATAGTGAAAAATTGTTTCAAAAAGAAAAACAATTTAAAAAAACATAAACTTTTAAAAATTTTTGTGAAATTACTAACCAGAGTTATACATGATACTTATGTCATATTCAGTCCAATCATCTCCAGGAACTTCACATTTTTTAATGGCTCTGTTAAGGCGTTCGGTCTTATATGAGCAGGGCCATAGACAAATACCATTTGTTACCCATTTAGCGGGAACAACAGCCACTGAATCTTTTTCATCAATAAATTTAACAATATGATACAATTTATCCATTGTTCTTTTAGAAGAAAATTATAGACTAAATATGGTAGTATTATTGACATATTATAGTTAGTAATTAAGTGTTGGTTGATAATTAAAAATAACTTAAATTTGAGAAATTTAAAAATAGAGAACAGCAAAAAATACAAAAAG